TAGGGGAAGATTATACAGTGCTATGATAAAGTATTGTGGCGAAAAGATTTAAAAAATAACGGTTAGACAAAACATCAGATGTCAAAGATAGTTCGCCGTAGCTTAGTATAATACTGATAAGGATAGAGAGAAGGCCGTTAATAACTTAAACAGACCCAGCCTTTTGTCCTTTCAGCACGATTCCAACTTTTAGTGTGGACACATTGCACATACCAAAATTCGTTTTACCTGTTAATAAATATATATCATACTTGACCTTTCACTTTCATTAACCAATTCAAGACATGAATATGTTAAAAAAAATCTTGTTAAATCGGTCTCTTAAATAATTCACAAATCTGCTAAATTATTTGTTCATTATTACTTAGTGTTTTGTTTTTTAGCAGAATGTAGGCTATCAAGATAATAGCTGTACTTAATTCTGCAGTCTCATTTAAGTTGACATTTCTAACAGCAACACTTTTTGAAGTTGAAGCAAGAGTAAAAGCAAGGATAATATCAAACAAATAATCTTTTCACTATTTCAATAGTTCGTTTTATTCTTACTTTGAAAAATAAAATATTAAAGATTTAAAAGCATTTTCCATAGATTATTGTTTTTCAATTATTTTTTCACTGCTAAATTTACTTACAGCCTAGAGAAATTGTGTTACCAAAGTTTTCACTGATGGAAGATGGGTTTGCAAAACAGCTTCATAGTAGATGAAACCCATCTTACATCACATTCTTTGTTAATATCTGGTCAGGTACTGTGGCCATTTCCCATCCAGGCTGTCATTGCATAATGAACCGTGTGTTCCTCTTACAGAAATGGAAAACAAACGCTGGATAATCTGTATGTACAAAGAGACAACTCCATCTAACTTTATGAAGTTATGATAATATATATGTCTAAGCATGTATAGTCATCAAATTAAAAAGTATTGAGAAGCACATAAAAAAAATTTGCAAAGTCCTCCACGTGAAAAGGGTGGAGCATTTCTTGCAATTTATGACAAGGTTTATCTCTCATGTTCACTGGCAGGAGGCATGGAGAAGCCTGGAAGAAAGTGGAAAACACTCTTGAATCCACTCTTTGAGTCTGGCCAGTCAAAACTCAGAGACATCACACTTGTTCCTACTGTTTTGTTTGTACTCTCCTCAAAAAAAAGAAAGAAAAAATAGAAAAGAAAAAGAAAAACAACTAAGTTTGATAAAAGTAGTAGCTAGGGGATCCAGGGGCTGCCGGCACCAAATACAAAGTGTTGTTTTAAGGAACATCAACATGCATCCTTCTCTAGTTTGCAATAACCTTACAGGCAGGGTTGAGGGTGGGAGGAGTGATATCTACAATGATGTATGCATTAACACTATAGAGCCGACTCATTTCGCATGTAAGAGGAAGGTGATATGCAGGAGAGAATTTTAAAAAGTTTAGTGCAGTAAAATCAAGCATGAGCCACATTGTCCTTTGGGTGTAAAAATAAATGGCTGCTTTACCTATATCACTAATTCATTTAATAACATGAAGACATTTGGAGGACCAGTAATGAAAGAATGATTACTGTTACAGGAAGATGGAGATGAGATGGACTGGTGACAAAAGGGTTTAATGGCATTGCCTAGCTCATGACTGTAGCTTACTAAGGCCAAGTGGAGTTTTGGTTAGGTGTACAACTCTACCGGTGGTTCATACACACCCTGAGATCAGAGCAAGGGTCCACTAATAAGGAATGCAGCCTCTGGGACATCAATGCTGCTCAACACTTTTTAAGAGGTTCAACCTCTTACCAACTTCACAGTATATACAACATGCTGCTCCAGAGAACAGGGTGTCACTTTTCAGGTAAAAGTTTTCTCCATGACACATGGAGAATAAAGAGTACGCTGGCATACAAAGTTCTTAACTTTGGAAAACATTACTTCGAGCATTCATTGAATGCCATAAAGAATACTTATATCCTATGGGTAGAAAGCAGCGACAAACATTTACATGAAATTAACAGTTTGGATGGACCTTAAATGTACATTAATGTAGTATATAAATAAAATGAAGTCATGGGGCACTCAGGACCCTTTTATCACTTTGCAACATATATTTGGTTCAGATCATAAAGTAGCAACACTTACCGGTGAAATGGAAGGGAAATAAAAGTAATTACATCATTAAAAGGAGAATGAAAAAAAAGAAGAAGAAAAAAAAAAGGATGAGTAGGAATATAGAAAAAAGTGGGTCACAGCAAGTCACCATGCACTACTTCGTGCAAGAAAGATAACTTAAGCTCCTCCCATTACTCAATTTCAGAAAAAGCTTCTTATATGTGTGACTGCCCAAGACCCCTCATAATACCAGTTGCACAAATTGTCTATGCACACGCACACATACTCACACACACACTCACACACTCTGGGGCCTGAAACTCTAACCCGGAATAACACTACACTGGGTAATCTCATCCTTATCTTTGGCACTTAAAGTCCAGAAGGTTCATTCCCCTGGCCAAAGACAATCCCCCTCCCCCCCATACACCGGGTCATATGGCAGCTAACTCAAACTGAGGTGGTTCCTGCTGAGCACTATAGCATAGGCTCTCCATCTGCCTTGAATTTTTTAACAGTAACTGGAGAACGGTTATCTGTGGCAGGTCTTCTCATGACTACTTTTGGTCCTCCAGCTGATCCACCCACTACAGAATCTGAAATAGAACATTTATAAAGTTGACATAAAAAGAAAGGGATATAGCCTAACTCTTTATGTATACACAAATGCTTATGTGCATATATATAAACATATATATATAAATTCATAAGTTCATGTTGTATGTCTACGTATATAACCCCCTCAGAAATCTTTAAATTCAACTTACCCTGTAACCACCTAACTTGTGTAGCAGGGCCATATCCTTTGTCATTTCTAGCTGCTATTCTAAATATGATTGCTGGTTTATTAGTTGTATCGATGTGCGCTGCTCCAAGCTGTGTGTTGAGTACTGTACACTGGTTGCTGGCACCACAATACACACGTACAAATGCCAGATGAGCTCCACCATTATTAGCATCCTGTGATAAAAGCAGGCAATACAGATTTTTATACAAACAGTAATAAAAACTAGTATATAAGAAGGAAAGAGACAAGAGGGAGACAGTGTGAATGGGGAGAAGGAAGATGGGAAAGGGAGGAGAGGGAGAGAGTATATAATGTCACATGTATTTGAACCGGTATTATCTTGGCACTATCTACATTTTCAAAAAAGAAAATCCAAGTGAAGTTTACCTTTTTACCCACCTGCTGTTGAGTTGCTGCATTTCTAATTGCCAAATAAACAGAATATTCCACAATGTCACCAGCAGCATTTTGTGGGGGTTCCCATGATAAATGTGCACCTTCTGCAGATTTAGAAATTTTAATAGCTGATGGTGCCCCCGGATAACCAGGTAAACAAGTTTTGAAGGCTGAAACTTCACTCCATGGACCCCTTCCACATGGATTAATTCCAGCAACTCTGAATTTATATGCAGTGCCGGGCTGTAACTTGACTTCAATCCCACTTGCTTTTCTTTCGGTAACCTCTCCCTCAGCATCAGTATAGGATTCATTTTTGAGAGAATCTGCTTCTGTGGGCAAATAGTAGGCTTGGACTGTACAGACGGTTCCTCTGATGATGCCAACATCATACCACTCTTCTTCTGGCTTCTTTATTTCACTCTGTAAAAGATACAAATACTTTAGTCCAAAAATAAGTGATTTAAAGTACTTCTTAAAACTGTGATATTAGTGTACACTCCAAAGACAAGGACAGAGAAAAGAAAGAAAGAAAGAAAAGAAAAAAAGGAGCATAAGTAATAATAATAAAGTAAATAAATGTTAATTCTTTACACACAGATGGCTCCAAAAAGTAAATAGTCACAAATGAGCCAATTGCTTGTGTTACCTCTGCCCTGTTTACCTTTTATCTTGATCTTCATATAATTTTCTTTAATGTTATACGGCTACTAGTAATGTCCATAACATTATAATGATTATAGTCTAAAATATTAATAATAATAACTGCATTAATAGAATAAGAAAAAAAGAAAAGAAAAACAAAGATCCAGACAACTCAATGAAAGGTGAAATTAGGTAAGGTTGCAAGGCATATTAATTAACTCCTTGGTGGCTAAACACTGTGGAGTGGTCTATTTGTAGACATTTAAAAAACAATATTATAGTGAAGACTACATTTTCCTGGTCACATTAGGCTAAGGATACCCCAGTGCTTTTGTTTATTTTTCAATAATTTTTCAAGATATAAACAAACTGATTTCTTTCTTTATAATTATATTTTTTCTTCAAAAAAGAAAATTGTGAAAAGTGCACCACAAAGACCTTTTTCAAATTTGAATTAGTTCTTAAATTACTAAACAAACTTTTTGTGATATTTTCCAAGAGAGTGAAGAAAGTGAGAGAAGGGGATGGGGGGGAGAGGGAGAGAAAAAGAAAGAAAGAGAGAGAGAGAGATGGAAATAAATAAATAAATAAAGAGAGAGAGAGAAAGAAAAAAGAGAAAGAGAAAGAGAGAAAGAGAGAAGAGAGAGAAAGAGAAAGAAAGAGAAAGAAAAGAGAGAAAGAGAGAAAGAAAAGAGAGAAAGAGAGAAAGAAAAGAAAAGAAGAAAGAAAGAGAGAAGAGAAAAGAGAGAAGAGAGAAGAAATGAGAGAGAGAAAAGAAAAGAGAAAGAGAGAAAGAAAAGAGAGCAAGAAAGAGAGAGAGAAAGAAAAGAGAGAGAGAGAGAAAGAAAAGAGAGAGAGAGAGAAAGAAAAGAGAGAGAGAGAGAAAGAAAAAGAGAGAGAGAGAGAGAGAAAGAAAGAGAGAGAGAGAGAGAAGAGAGAGAGAGAGAGAGAGAGAGAGAGAGAGAGAGAGAGAGAGAGAGAGAGAGAGAGAGAGAGAGAGAGAGAGAGAGAGAGAGAGAGAGAGAGAGAGAGAGAGAGAGAGAGAGAGAGAGAGAGAGAGAGAGAGAGAGAGAGAGAAGAGAGAGAGAGAGAAAGAAGAGAGAGAGAGAGAAAGAAGAGAGAGAGAGAGAGAGAGAGAGAGAGAGAGAGAAAGAAGAGAGAGAGAGAGAGAAAGAAGAGAGAGAGAGAGAGAAGAAGAGAGAGAGAGAGAGAAGAGAGAGAGAGAGAAAGAAAAGAGAAAAAAAGAAAAGAAAAGAAAAGAGAAAGAGAGAGAGAAATTTCTTCTGAGATTTTAGATTTTATCAGGATTTAAATCTTTCATAAGTTTCAACTGAACTTTCTGCACTTAATTTATGCAAAATTGCAAAAGATTGGCTTCAATATATGCAGAATCATGTAAGCTTAATTTTTGAACCTTTATTTTCAAAATATCTACTCAAAGCAATTTAAATAAGCATTTCATAAAAAATGCAATTATAAATGATGCAAAATACCCTAAAAATATCTACTGTCAACAAATGTTGGATATTTTTTGCAAGGCCCTACCTCTTAACTAAAATGTGCAAACAGACAAACTCACCGTTTCCTGTTTTATGCCATTAGCAAGCGTCGTTGTGGTATCTTCATTTTTGATAGTGGGCGTTGTTGTGCTGAGGGAGGAATTGATAGCTGCGGATGCTAATGTCGCTAACGGATCAGTAGGCTCACCGGCCTCACCCACACCACCTGCTGCCTGTCCTGCACAACTTGCTTCCCCAGTCCCATCACCAGTATCCATGGGTTCTTGTTTAATGGCATTTTCGCCTTCAACATTTGTTAGTGTGTTTCCCTCAGTTCTTTTCGCATCAACATCATCTAGATTTTCTGAATTACTTGCTATTGACTGTTTTGAAGTTTCCGAAGAAGCATTTGTTTCCATTACTTCTTCAGACGTATTTTGAGATGATCCACTCTTCTCAGACTGATCCTGCTGGGTTCCAACTGCAGCCACATGTTCATTACCCTGCTCTCCTTCCCCTGATGGCATGATCAGGCCTGCCTCAGCTGCCAAAGCTGCAAGAGCTGCATCCGAGGTAACAGGGCCATCTCCTGCACTACCAATTGATGTTGTTGGCTGATTTGTGGTTGCTGTGCTTGATGTGCTAGTACTAGAAGTTGTGGATGTAGTTGCACTGCTGGCAGCCTGGGATGTGACTAAAGTCACAGTCTTTTGACCTCCAGCTGTAGTTACTTGTACTGTTACAGGTTTTCCTCCAATTGTAAGAGACTGAAACATTAAAATACAAATAATGAACTTTGGGAGAATATTTCCATAAAATTTCCTCTTAAAGATGATCATTTAAATTTGAATTTTGTATCAAATACTACATTTAGCCTTAGAAGTACCTTAATCTTAAAAAGCCAAACTTACCCTGCCTTACAAGCTGAGTCACGAATAATTCCAGTGCCCCTCATTCAGTTTTCTAGCCTTTTCTTTTGTATGTCACTAATAAGAATTCCTAGCCTGATATATTTTGTTACACTTGCTATGCTTGTGCAAACTCTTCAAAATATGGTGGGGTGTTTCATATAAATAGAAGCATTTCTGGTTATACTTTACATACATACATACAAATACATATCTAAGATATAGAAAAAATAAAAGAGTCCAACTTGTGGCCTGTGACATTGTGCTCACCTGCTGCCCTGACTGCAGCAGACCCTGAGCAGGTACAGCAATAATCTGACCTGACCCAGTGTTGAGGAGAGTTGTGGTGCTAGGAGTGCCACTTTTGGCAGCTATGGTGACTGTCTTGGTGGTGGCACCAGCCTGTCCTGCCTGTCCAGCCACAGTAATAGTCATGGGCTTGGTGACAGCCTGTGTGGTTGTGGTGCCAGCCACACCACCAGATGATACCACAATCATCTTCACACCTCCACCAGCTGACACCTACAACACCATGTAAGTTTTAAACATTAATACTGTAGCAATTAACTAAGAACCTTACTTACACTGAATCTGAGTAATCTAGCGGCAATTCTCTTAAATATTAGGGACACTTGTTAGTATGAGTAAAAGATCATACCTGAGCAGGTTGGCCAGTCGCCATTGTAGTGGTTGTGCCTGTTTGTAGTGTTCTGATGGCTGATGCAGTGGTGACAACAATAATCTGAGAGGTCTGTGGCCGCACAACACTAGTTCCAGCAGCTCCTGGCTTCGTGATTACTATTGTCTGCTTTCCTCCTACAGTCGTGGTACCAAGCTTTAAATTCATAATTCAAAATTAGTATGCTGCATTTAAAAAAATCATTATTATTCCATTTCTAATACAAAATTTCAGGATAAACTATATTAATTTCATTCTGTACAGAAAGGTAAAATACATATTTTCACCAGTAACCTGTATATATCTTATTTACTGATTAAAATATTTTAAGGTACAAATACATTTTGAAAAACCTCAACCACTTTTCAAAACATATTCCCAGTTTCAGCTTTCTTTCTTTGAAGTTACTACCAAAACCCTTTTCTACATTCATCCAGTTACCCTTTTGTGTTTAAGAATTCTCATGTATATGCAGTCATGATTGTTCCCAAAGAAAAATGCTTAGGAAAACTCAAAATAATTATTCTATATCTAATTCAGCTAAGTGACAGATCTACAGATCTACTGTACTTATATTCTACAATTATTTATGATAAGACCCAATATAATAAGAGATGTTATTTTAACTATTTATGAAATACACACAATTTTCTAATCACTATTTGTTGGTTTCTAATATTTGACAGCAAACACTTAATAATGATGTAGATAAGTTAACAAAAACAAAAAAAACAACAATACCCTACTTCACTCTCAATGCTATATTGTTATACACTTTGTCCTTAGCCATTCTTCTTCTGAACTATCATCCTACCATTAAATCTGCTTCAGTTTACATCATTTATCATTTTTTAACAAATTAAGAGGACCATCCCTGAAAAATGCCAATCTTCTATTTTTGTTTTAAAATAGATAACGGTTTTACAGAACTTCATGAATTTTGGTAGGATGAAAGAGTACTTTATTACCCATCTTCTCACCCAATATTTAAAAATTTTGAATGAAGGGCATTTTAGCACTATCAAAAATTATTATTATTATTTTTTTTAGTTAGGTCACTTCTGTACCTCCCTCGTCTCGAAGTTATCATCCATTCTCTATGTAATTTCTGTTGAGAAAATCTCTAGGTCATACAAACAGAATTATGCATCTGATTTTGGAAATTCCTTTTAGTTTCAGATTTATTGCAAGAAAAGAAAAGAAAAGAAAAGAAAAGAGAGAAAAGGGTTTAAAAAAATTGTATTTTGATTTGACAAAATTCAATGTGTATTTGTATTCAGATTCAAATGTTCTTTCTTGGGGCAAATGCTTTATGACATAGGGCATAAACTGAACCGAGAGAGGTCCCAAATGTAAACATTTTTTAAAGAACTTTTTAGAAAGTTGGTTTAATTTCTATATTTTTTGTTCCTTATAGTATGTGCCTATAGACTAAAAAGAAGGCCAAATATTGCTCTTTCTATTGTTCTTTATTTGATTCAGTTTTGATGTGTGGTTAGTGAACAGCATCAAAAAAATGTAAAAAGGTATGGCGATGACACCTCCCACTTACGCTGCAAAGTGGCCCACTAAATGCTATGGTTATCCCTGAGATCATGCCTACAACACATCGCAACTTGTTTGCCCGCCTTGAGCTGTTGTCTATGCTTCATATCACACTCCAACATAGAGGCGCATGTATATGCATATTCAGACTCGTGTGAGCAATCACACTCGCATGCACACACACACGCATGCACACATGCACACACACACAGGTGCATGTATGATCACCTCTGTACGCGTCTTAACTCACTCTCTCCGTAATCTATACTTCACATCACCCTCCAATAAACATGCATATATGTGAGCGCACACACAAACGCACACACACACACTCACCTTGTATGCATGTCAAAATAAATAACTGATTTTGGGTAAATGGCATAAAAAAAAAAAAAAATAAAAAAAAAAAAAAACATTAATCTGCATATAAATGCAGAAATTATAAAAAGAACATATGGTAACCGACGGCTAAACAATAACATAATAACCTTGAGGTCTCAATACAGAACATGTTTTGCAAGTAGGCATACTTAGTCATGTAGGTCTACTAAAGCAGACTTTACACACAATTTTTTGTTTCTTTTTCTTTACATTTCATCATAATTCACCATGTATTGCTCATGTGCAACTGATATTCATGTGTAATTACTTTATCATATGCCGAATGAATGGTCGGAACAAGTGTAAAGGCCATTTAACTCAAATGAGCGAAAATGCACAGTCACCCAATGTTGCTTACACCCCTACTATACCATGAAATAGTCTGAGATATAGTCAAATAATTGAAGGGCAGTTTCCTCACACATGTAACAATAAGCCAGGACCAATAACTAAATTTGACTCCCCAAATCCCCCCATGGCACCCCATCGCCAGAGATGGTCCCCATAAGGTTAGAAGGTTGTCCTCATTTACTGGATCTCATAACAAATAAAATTTTGCTTATATAAAGGAACTAAGTTAGAGTTACTGAGAAGGGGTTATTTTGAATAATTGGCATCCTTTGGTATCTATGAAAATTTATCAGATGACTCTTTTCAGTCAATTATCTTCTAAAACATCAAATTGAAAGAGGGAGGGGAGAAGAGAGAAGACCAACGAAACTGTCCTTAAGGCTCTATAATTTACTTCTTCATTATCTGAAAATTATACAAAGAACCTGTTATTTCAAAGGCTCCATGTACAAACAATAATTTCAAAACAATAATAAATGTTAAATAAAATTACCTGTTGTTTAGCAATAACAATATTCTGTCCTTGTATGACAGTTTTCCCAGCAGTCTGTGTACCACTTGGCAAGCTTAGGATCTGGCCTGGCTGTGTGGTCGATGTGGTCATGATGGGTTTGCCTGGACCTCCTGCCTGTGTTGTGACCAGCTTCACTATTGTTGCGCCCTGCCCGCCTACACCAGCCTTACTCTGAACCAAATTTACTTTGGACATCTGTAATAAATAATAATAATTTTACAAAATCAACACATACAGATGGTTGTAAACAAATATATATAAACAGAAAATAATAAGTGGGGAAAAAAAAAAAAAAAAAAAAAAAAAAAAAAAAAGATATCTACTACCTTTTCTATCTGTAATTGTGGAGCAGAGAGGGAGCAAGATATATTTTTTTTCTTAATCTGCTTTTGATTTACTTACTGGAGTCAGACCTTTACTCGTCTTGACCAGAGTTACAATTTGTGGTTGAGATCCAGGGACACCACTTTTTTGTAGTATAAACTGCTTGCCACTTTGCCCTGCAACTGTGGTACCCTGGGTGTTTAACACCTGTAAGAAAATATGATTTAATCTCAATCAGGAATATATTAATATTAGACATTTATACTGGTTAAAAAAATTTCAATCTTGATTAGAACTTTTCTATGCAAACAAGGATATCCTTACTTGTCCTGAAGGTGACACCAATCTCACAGTTTGGCCTGCTATAGTAGTTGCAACTTTCACACCTTGAGGTGTAACAAGTGTTGTTGGTTGTACAACTTTAACTGTTGTTGGAGAAGTTGTTGTTCCGGTACTGGTTGTAATTTTTTGTGTTGCTGCAGCGGCAGCTGCTAACGCTGCAATGCCTGACATTCCACCTTGTGAAGTTGCAGTTGTTGTTGCTGGCAATCCACCACGTAGAATCTGTGTGGTCTGACCTCCAGTTCCTATTACTTTGATCTGTCCTGTTCCTGGGGCACGAACTCTAACAATATTTCCACCAGCTGTTGAATAGAAAATATGCATCTCGCTCTTTAAAAAATTCTAAACAGCATTTTCTAATACTGACATAATATACATTATATATATATATATATATATATATATATATATATATATATATATATATTATATTATTATATTTATCATATTCCCCACTGGCTATAAAGTTCAGGATATGCCAGCAGAATATAATCAAAAGTTCTTCCAAAGATTAGATAAAACTGACCTCTTATCGTCTGTGGTGTCGTGGGAGTCAAAGGTGTTACAGCTCCTGGTGTTGCTGGTCTTAAAACAGTTTGAGTAAGGGTGATGGGCTTGTTGGCTGGAGTCAAAGGTAAGCTGGTGGTGGCAGGAGTGCTGGTGGGAGTTGTTGGAGTTGGGACTGTTGAAGCTGGAGTTGGGATGTCGTACTTCTGAATCTGAAAATAAAAATATCCCCTGTGACTATAGGTGGCAACATCATTATGCAAAAATATCTCACCACCACCCACTCTACTTCACCTGTCTGCACACACCTACACCCACACCCACAAAATTAGGGACCACCTGGCCAATTCACCTAATATCTTGAATTTTAGGAAAAAAGGTTTTTACCTTTATTATTATTTCTTTTGCTAATAATATCATAATAACAATAATAACAAATTTTAGCAATGATGATCATAGCAATTCAAACTTGATGCTGCTGGGGATGGATTGTACAAACATCATACCTAAAGTAAGCTTAGTTTATTATTTGTCACTACACATAGATGGCTCCGTAAGTACTTATTCACCAATGAGCCAATCATTAGTGTTACTTATCTCATCTGTTAATCCTATTACTTGACTTTTGGAAATATTAAAAAAAAACTTGTATTGCTATTAGTGAAGTCAATAACATCATAATTATCAGGTCTATACTAATAATAAATGCATCAACACTGCTAGCATTACAAATTGACTCTTTTGTGGTTAAGCACTTGTGGAGCCATCAATGTGTAGACATATCACAAAAAATACTATAACTGATACTTTATTTTCCTGGAAGAAAGAAGAAGAAAAGGAATAAATAGGCAAGATCATGTAGACCAAGGAATTAACTTCTTGTTGATAAAATGTTTGCGATGCCACCCATGAGGAAACAAATTTAATAAAACTAAAGAACAGTGGACAGTGTGTGGCTAAAACCTACATGTTAAATGTATGGTATTTTTTAAGTACTAAATCAACAGCCAGGGCCAATATGAATTGAATTGCAATTCAGGTACGAGGCTTCAGATTTACTAGCTTAGTTCACGCCAGTATGTTGCACTAATATGATGCGGATAAAACACAAAAGTATGGTACAAATCTTGCAAAGCCCTACCTAGTCACTGCTGGCAATTGAACTACTTTACCTGCTACATCTCACTGCAATTTTTCACATCTTAATGCCTCGGCAACATGTTAACCCACTAACACCGGTATATTTTGAAGCCAAAAAATAATAGTTTCCGGGCAGCTACAAAATAGGCGCGTTGCTGGCCCGGAATCTGCCTGTGTGCCTGCTGTGGCCCACAATGTATTCAGAGCACGAGCTCCGATCCAACATCACACTGGCAGGACGCCCGGCAACGTTTATTTTTATGGGTGTCTCGTATATGGGACATCCGTCATAAATGGGTTAAGGAAATTCCAGATTTGAGTAACTTATGGCAATCTGATGAAATCCTGCAACTTACACTAATCCTGGTTTTGTTTATTAAAACAAAAATTTGAACAAATTGAACTCTGAGTTGGCAATAAATGTGACTGATTTGTGAGGAAGACCAATTCTTATGATAAATATAGATGATAAATTAAAATCTGATTTTCCTTTTCTTCTGTTACATTGATGGCTCTGCGTAAATTAAATTACTTGTCCAGGATGGCAAACATACATGCCGTGTCCCATTTTTCTTTCTTTTCTTTTTTTATTTATCTATTCGTTTATCTCATTTATTGTTTATTTATTTACTGGTGCTGAACCCTTTCGATCAGGATATGGCCATGACTGGAAGAGCGCTGGTTCCAGTGAGGATGCCATTTACATGCTCAGCATCCTATTCCTGGCCCCCATGACTGGTGGCAAAGGTAGTATTACAGAAAATTGAATATTACAAAAAGATGATAAGGATAAGGATGTGTCAAATAAATGAAATTGAGCCTCGCCAGGGCTATGAAGGGAGCCTGGCCTGTGCCGACTAATACCGACTCGATCAACAGCTAGTGCTGAAGCTCAGAGCTTAATCCTCATAAACCATGGTGCCCAGCCAAAGCAGTAACCTCCAGGTAACAACTGCAACTGCCAACCCCTTGTAAGAGAGACCAACATGCTATCACTTTACTAGCCTGGTGCTGAATTTTATATATCTATTTATCTATTCATTTATTTATTAATCTTTATTGCACAGAGTCACTGATTATCTAGCGGAATGATATAAAAGGGAAAACAGTCTATTACCATCTGGATAAAGCAAATCAAATGACAAATATGGAAACTGGAAGAGAGGGGGGGGGGGCTTATGAATAAAAAGAGAAAACAAGAGGGCAAAGGAGAGGTATAGTCATGTCATCAAACAAGAGTTTGCATGCACCCAGCCTACAAGCCACACATCTGTCTGAGTGGATGCTCACATAAGCATCACATCTGTATTTTGGGCCATAGGATTGCCTTGAAGCAACTGGATCCAAGGGGTTAATCACCAAAATGCCCATTACTAATCCTACCTGTCTCATCAGTCTATGATTTTCCTAAATTTTGTGAAAGACTCATGTTTACTTTTTATTACTAATTAATATAATTAATAATGTTATAATAACTGTAATAACAAAATACTGATATCAATAGCATAAGAAGAAAAACAAAGAAGAAAGAAAAATCATGAAAACTCAATGAAAGGAGAAATGAGGTGAGGTCATACAGGCCTACTAATAGGCTTCCTGGTAGCAAAGCACTTGTGGAGCCATCTGTACAAACAAAATTCATAAAAGGAATCTTGACTGAACAAAATATTGGTTGTAATGAAATGAACATCACTGGAACTGGCATTTTTTTTTTTTTTTTTTTTTTTTTTAAAGGAACCCCGATTTTGTAGCTTCCCGGATTTTTTAAATTTTGGCTACAAAATGTACCCCGGCGCGGGTGGGTTAAGGGAACTGAAGTGACAAATGCATTAACCCTAGTCCTGTCAACAGCTATAAATATTGATCCTTTTTTAAAACTAATGTGATTTCTTATGTTTTAACATTAAATGAACAAGTGGATTTGACTTGTTTAGTCTGTAATCTATGGTCTATAATAAGACTAAAGAAGAAAATACCTGAAGCAGGTAAGCATCTGCACAAGGTGTGGCACCCCAGCACACTTCTAGGGTAGTAGTGGATGCTCTAACAAGCTGGACTCTACCTGGTGATCCAGGTACACTTGTCTCCAGGTACCATAAGTCTTTGCAGCAAACCTGAAAAATTACCAAAACCTTTTTAGAAAGTAACATGAAACTTACAAACACACAATAATGAAGCCGTGGAAAAACTAAGGAGTTTAGTCAAGTGTAATGAAAATTATACAAAATATGACAGCAGCAAAAAATCAAACTTAACTATTTCTTGAGTGGTCAAACCAGGTGTCACACATCAATGTATGATATTTATTTCTGCAAAGAAAAAGCATGAGGAAAGTCCAATTACTGCTCACTTTCCACAATTCCATTGGGGTTCCCTGTTTTTAGTGTTCCCTCTCTTACTACGTGAGTGATACTGGAATTGCTCCTTTCCTTTGCTCTTACATTTTCATGAACATATCCTACATCAACCAAACTGCCATTATTCAACCTACTTGATTATTCCAAGCTTTCCTGTATCCATCTCTGCCGGACCACACAAACAGTCTTGAATGTATCCCCACAGAACAGTGTCCAGCCCGAGCACGAGGCATCTGGTCCTCAAACTTCTCCATCATGGCGTTTTCCCAAGCCATGTTTTCTTAAAGGGGGAAAGAAGGAGAAACATAAAAAAACTGTACTCCTGACTTGCTATCTTGCACTTTTGCAGACAGTAATATGCACTATATTGTAACAGCACAAAACTTCTATATGACTTTTGCTTAGCAATGCTTAAATATGATTGTAGTACTCCAGTTGAAAAAATAATAAGTAAAGATAAAGCAATCTTGATGGAATACTGGTCCCTGAAAGTTAATTTCATGACATCAGATAGTAAAGTAGTCTATCTTTTCTGGTATGAATGTATGTTTCAGAATACTTGAAAGAAGTACATACTACTGCTTTGTTAAGACTCTCTTAGACTATAGAAGCATTCTACAAATTATGGAAAGGCATTTCCATTAACCCATTCCTTAACCAAAATTTAATGTACAAGTGGGTAATGCTAGAAAATGTCTATGCTTTAATATTCTTGCAACAACTGTACATAATGCACATTCTTTAATACAACCTTAAACAAATGGAAATATATGGGACTATGGAAAACTTAGCTATGTTGGTTATGACTGTGTTTAGTCACCAAAAAACAAAGTTTGGCATCATCATTCAATGCTTCCACTAATGGCATGCTGGTTTGTATGACAGTCACTCTTCATCCCTTTTTTTTGGGAGATGGGGCAGGATTATAAATTTACAAGAGAGAGAGTAGGGTGGGAAAAGAGAAGAGGGAGTGAAGTAACATTACACACACATACGTGCGTGTATCAATGTATGTATGTATATCTTCCTATCTATCTCAATGTGTGAGTGAGTGTGTGAGTGAGAGAGAAATTTTTTGTTTTTGTTTTGTTTTTATTGTTGTTCTGGTGGCTGCTTACCCATCCCCTCTGATAACAAGTTTCTTCCTCATTATATATTAAAAAATCAAGAGTGAAAAAATATCTAATAACCCTCATATTGCAGGAGGAATAGACATTTCAATCAGCATGGCACAGCAACAGAATGTTTACATGGTGGGAGACAAGTTGGTAAGGAGTGGGCTAACAATGCTATTTGTACTAATGCTTCACATGTGAATGACATGATGGTCAGTACATTATATATATATATATATATATATATATATATATATATATATATATATATATATATATATATATATATATATATACACAAGTGAATTTTCATATTACCAAGGTTGAGACATGCTAAAGTGTTTGTGCATTTCCACTCAGACTTCTCATTGTTGGGTCCTTTCAACTCCTCCAGAACAAGTGGAACCCATCCTCCGAAGACAAACATTTTGTTTCCCAAAAGAGTGGCTGAATGCAGAGATCTTGGAAGAGGATGAACACCACTTACTGTTGGCCTTTCCCAGGTCATGGTATCTGGAATAAAATGTTAAATTAGTTTAGAGCATTTTTCTTTCAGCAAGTTTGTTACATAGGAAACGGACTACTTTTCATGAGATTGCATCTATTATGAGAAATCACAGACAAAATACAATAAATCAAAATTAAGTAAATTATAACGGTAATAAAATAAAATCTTTCATTATGAACCCATTGTATCCATTTGCATCACGGAAATCTCAGGGTCGAAAATATGGAAAGTGGGTTATAAAAGTTGCCAATATCCTTTGTGTGCAATATTGATGCCTCCCTTTTGCGAAATTATTGAGTGTGTATTATTATTATTATCATTTTTGCCATTTTTCAATGTCCATATTTCTTATGACTTGTTTTATCCTGATGATAATAGACTATTTTCATTGCAAAGACTCCATATCATTCAGCTCTCTATGTAGTAAATAACTCAGTACAAGAAGAAAAAAGTAATATTTGGCTATGTGTCATATATATATCTCATTTTTTTCTTAATTAAAATTTTTCCATAATACAACCTGTGTTGCCGGTCACAGCAACCTGCAATACAATGTTGAGCCAGTGCTTATGCACATTACATTCCACCTTTGGTGATGAATGGGAATGCAAAGTCCCTCTTCTAAGTGCCAAATGAGTAAAATCACACTCCAAGTGGGTTGTGCACTTGGGGTAAGCCTTTTCTGTCACCTGGCCCAGAGTTAGTTCAGTGATGGCATGTTTATGTCATCCAACCCTCCACCCAGATTTTTCCAAGACAGGAAGGTCACGTTACCCCAATTCTAAGGGGTTAACACTATCTTATCAAGAGTAAGATGCATCGATTAAATACAGTTGGTAAAATCACCAAAGCCCTAAGTTCTAAGCAAGCCCTAAATGCTTAGTAGTTAATCAATGTATCATAACTGTAGTCCCTTTGCTCCTTCAGAGATTACCCCTTGAATACCATTTGCATCCAAACACTTATAGAAATTCACATAACCTTGTTTAGCTATCATTCATCTAATGGTTAATATTTATTTCATGATGTATCTCAGGCTTTACGTAAGGAATGTGATATCCTAATTTTTTACTGAAGACTTGATGCATGAGTGGTTCAGCTTCTTCTTAAAGTAATGGTTGTTGATGGCATACCAATTTTAGTTTATTGCTATTACAGAAATGGCCTAACAAGTCAATTATTAGTTCTAGCTATCTTACCTGTACCCCTTTTTCTGTATTTTTATTCTATAATTATTTCAATAATATCATTTTAATCATATCAACAAAAATAGAAAATATAGAAATATGCAGAGCATAAAAGTCTATATATCAACATCTATCTGTATATCTATATGTATGTGTACATATATCCCAAATATACAAGGAAATCAGGCGCAGTCACACAAGGCCTACTAATTGACTCCTTAGTGGCTGAGCATTGTGGAATTGTCTGTGTACAACAAAACTAACAAACTACAGTACATTAATCCACAACCAATGAGTTAAGGAAATGTTTAACTGGCCTCTTCAACAGATAGATTATGCAACATATGCTGGCTAAATTCATAAAACACCAATTGCAAAATCCATATTGTGTAACCTATGTCAAAGTTGAGAAAGTCAATGGGACGGCATGACATACATGCCATATCCACTATGATATTGTTTATTGATTGTTTTACTTACAGATGGCTCCACAAGTAATTTGTTGCCATGTAGTCAATTACTAGTTCTACTCATTTCACCTGTTTACTCTTTTCTTTGATTTTCAGATAAACTTCTTTCTGATCTAATCATCTTTTTTGCTATTAGTATTTCAACTCAATTCCACCAAGAACATGTAGTGTTTACTATAGTATTATTCTTCAATATTTTTTCAATACATGGATAGCTCCACAAGTGTTTTGTCATGAAGGAAGTGATTAGTAGATCTTGTAGCCTCACCTGATTTCACCCTTCATTTAGTTATCATAGATTTTTTTCCATTACTAATGCTATCAATATTGATGCTATTATATCTATTATCATAGACATTATAACTATCACATTATTAAAAGTCTCTAATAACAATAAACCCAGGAGAGTCACCACCCAAGTATTCCCATTGACTGGCTTTCAGTCCATGTGCAGTCCTGGATCAAATGGGTTAATAAATTAAACTCACAGTGGACATTGCATATCCATACGTACTATCCCTGGCCATATTGGGTTAATAACTAAACTCACAGTGGGTATGATATGTATGTACATGCCATCCCCAATAGCAATGGGTTAATAGCAAGATAACCATGATGTAAATAATAACAACAGGTTTTATCTTAATAACTTTAAGAAAGAAATGGGAAAAAAGTAATATAGATAAAGAATAACTAAATAAACATACAAAACAAATTCTGAAAATTCAAGTAACTGCTAAACAGGTGAAATTAAGCTGAACTAATACCCGGTGGCTGAGCACTTGTTGAGCAATTTGTAAGCCACAAAATTCACAGTGCACATTAATTATACCAGCATAAAAACAGTTAAAAACATAAGATATTAAGATCTGAATATCAAAGAGCTGTGAAATAACACATCATAAATTTCTCTTCTTTTGTTTTAACCATAGTCTCCTTATTAAAAAAACACATTAAAAGGGTTAATTGAACTACATAAAAAGTACGATAACTTACTAACGTCAAGGATCCACAAATCTCCCAATCTGGTGCCACTCATTCCTCCATATATAACTAATTTGGGTTTGTCTTTGCTCATGTACGCCACTCCTGTATGGGATTCTCTGGGAGGAGGTGGCACTCCATATGTGTCTGGGATATCCCATGCCATTACACTTGAGTTTGGACGCAGTTCCAATGTGTAGAGATCATTTAGGTACCTGTAATGAGTTTGTTTGTTTAAAACGAAAAATCATCAGTAAAAAATAGAAATCTTAAACTCCATCCTTAACTTCAGCTTCAACCTGTGTCTAATAAGGGAAATGCTATTAAATTTGTAATAACAAATAACCTTTTGTTAACCCAAAACATTTATAAAAAATCTTTATAACTTTTTTATATATAGATTCAAAAAGATGAATTTCCTGTATAAACATATATAAAGAATAATGTAAAATAGAAAGTAAATTGATGACTTTCTGATACCTTAATCAACTGGAAATACTTACTTTGGGATATTATTTTTAGGGTCCTCACTATCATTTGCCAACCCTCCAAAAAGGTAGACTTTGTTGTTGATAATGGTGAAGGAATGACCAAGGCGCGGACATGGAGGTGGCCCGTTGCGAGGTGGCCTGGGTTTAACACGTTTCCACTCCCATCTTGAAGCTTGGAGCTCATAGAGTTCATTGCTATAAAGAAATTAAGAGATTTCAGACTAAAATGGACCTCCAGTTTCCAGAATTGCAACAAACCAGTAGTCTGTAGGTACTAAATCCAGTGTCTTAATCAAAATTTAACTGTAGACAATTATCCTTACAAAATAAATGTAAATATCATATATAATATAAAAAGAACATTTAATACATATATACACACATGAATATTATATATTCAACACAGACACACATACATTTACTACATATTATAAGTGAATGGGGTCCCCTTTAATTGTTGTTAATATGGACCAGTAAACTAATATGAATGATCTGATGAATAGTGATACACAATATCCCAAAGGAATACATTATAGAAAGGTTTAATATGGATCAGGACTGTAATATCCAGTTGTTTGCTCAAGTATATAGCTTATATTTATATTCTCCAAATGATGCAAAAGAATAAAACATGCAATTTTATTGAAGAAATGTTAAAACAAGAGAGGAATTATAACAACAGCTGTTATGACAATAGTGTAATATTAAGTATAAAATGAGTTCAGAGGGGTGGTTGCCAGTATGTGGCAGAAGCAACAAGAAAGAGGGTGACGCTATGCACAGATAAAAGT